TAAGAGAAACACTTCCGCTATTTACGTCAATTTCCATACATAAAAGCCTGTCAAATATTCAGAATGAAACTAGTGATGAGTGTGTGGCCAAAAGATGTGCCGTAACGAATCTAGGTATTCGGTACTCCATTTCCTGCGCGACCCTCACCCTTTCTGATATCTTTACAATATATGAAATGGGGGGAGTATATATGGATCGGCTGAATGCCTATTATCGAAACAGCTTGATCTGCCATCGCAAGAGGGTCGTTGCGCACATACTAAATATGCTTTAAAAAATTAACATTCATATTTTCTGACTACCTAATATTTTATTTTTTATGGAAAGCGCCTGATTGTGTTTCCTAAATAATTCGTATGCCGTTGGATCTTTGGACCGTCCGCCACCCCCTTTCAGAGCTCAGCAGCGCAGAAGATTTTAAAAGAGCTTCTAACAATGAAAAAGCTCAGGAGGTTGTAGAACGCCCTCGAGAACGCCTGCAGTTGCTCGGGGTCTTAGAATGCATATGAAAATACATCTCCGAGTACATCTCGAACCACTTTTTAAGCTTCTCGTTCCGTTGTATAGCCCATGGCATCTTAACTGCTTTTCAGAAACTCGATGGAAGATGGAAGATCCTATAAAATTCTGACTGAGGCCTTGAAAACACTTTCCTAGGGCATTTCTAGAGAAGCACTGTTTGGCCTTTGTAAGGCTAGGCGAGACTGCAAAGGCCTAGGACGCTGTAGTTAAACTAGAAACCTCTGGAAAGATTTGAAAGGAGCCTAACATGCCCAGCAGTGATGCAATAAGGCTTTGGCACGTTCGAACACCCCGGAGAAAAACCAACAGGCTCTGGCTCACCTCTGAAAATATTAGAATACCTTGAAAAGTACTTATACTGCTATGTTTAGAGTCTTACGAATTTCTCAGAAATTCTGTACACCTTTTATAAGGATATCGAGAAGCTTATACCGTTTTTTCAAGAGCCAGAGTTACCTAAGCCATTTAGCGAGGTGGGGAGGTATGGAAATGATCTAGAAAGCTTTGCAAATGTAAGTAAAACCTCTAAAAAGAGCAACGCCGGGATTGCGATAGAGTAGGAAAAAAAAGGCGCTGTAAAGGTTCTAGAAAGCGCCTGTTTGCTCTGTAAAGCCTTTGAAAAGCATTACAATGTCCATTTCGCACTTAAATACAGTTCACGATTAACGGGCTTCAGCTTCATGGTGTCACATTCGAACGTTTCTGTAAAACTATACAAGTAGATTTTTCGTTCTAATTGCGTTTAATAGCTTTTCTTTGTATTAATCGAAGGAAAAATCATTGTTATAGAATTTTGGTATACACTACTAGCATTTTGTAGAATTTTGTTTAGAAATTTTTTCAAAGCGCACAATAAAATTATTATCTTATACAATTGAGATATAGCCTAAAAAGCGTCAGACTTGTGTAGAAAAACTTCGAGTATCCTGGAACACATTAAAAAGGCTTTGGAAGCCATTATAAGGCTATTTATCTAGCATATACAGCGCTTTTCATCAATAAAAAAAAAGGTATTCTAAATGCAAGTTTGAGGCGACCTGCAAAATTACAGATGAATTTATACAAATGATTTAAATAAAAGGATCAAAAAATCAAAATTATCTTATGCATCTGAAATATTGTATACTTATACATTGACCAAAAATTGCATTAAAAAGAAATTTTTTCTTTTCGTTATTTTCGGAATTTTGGAATTTCGCAAAAAAATTGACAGATATACTTACTTCATGCGAATCACGTAGGTACTATTATTTTTTTGATTATTTTTCAAATAAAGCCATTAATTTAAAGAAGTACCATACTTTACTGGTGATAAACTGTCACTTCATTCAAACATTCAGTTTCTGTACATGCTGCTTTCACTTACTGTTTATTATCTACATACCTATATCGTAAATTATTTCTTCGGATCTATCTATGGATTTTGTAGATTTTTAAACACTATTGCTACAGATATGTTAAATTTTAAATTTTCGGCCTGCATCGATTGATACCTTTCTCTCCTTTTCACAACTTAATGGATGTAGGTAAATTTCCACGACTAAAGTATACCCCTCCATGACATATTGGGGCTGAGTGGTAAACTAGACGGTTAATATTTTTGACCAACCTGTGAATATCTAGTGAATTTCAATTGTTCAAAAGAAGTCCAGAGATTATGTATGGAGTTACACACTAAATGAATGTTTGATGTAGGCCTACAGATTTTTATCTGTGAAATTGTTGACATCCATGTAGCTCGTAGAACAGTAGAGCGGGAGGGGTTGATCACGACGGAAATTCTTATCCTCATATAGGAAATTTCCAGGAAATAACTGGGAAGTATGTAGGAAATGGACAAAATTATATATTCTGGAGAAATATTAGAAAATTTTTGGGGAAATTTCAAACGAATGTGGAAATTCTAGGGAAATATTAGGAAATCTATAGGAAATTTTAAGGAAAGGTTTCTATAGGGAGGTAACGTTACTCATTTCAATTAATTCGAAGAAATTTTGCGTAAATTTGGGGAAATATAAGGCAATGCTAGAATGTTGGGGGAATTAAGGGAAATGGTGATAATTTTTAGGCAATGAAAGAAATCTCTATCCACTAAAATAGGGCGTCTTTTCTACTTCCATGAACAACAAAAGTTTTGAAACGTTTGTGGAAGGTAAAACTCAGTAGAAAATTCCGATTTTTAAAATTCAAATTTTTTTTTATCGTGATTTTGAGGGTAAACTTGTGAAACTTTTTTGAAACGAATTATTGGTGCAAGAAGTGAGGTTCTTTAATTTTCGATAATGATATGGGCTTTACAGACACACATAAATGCATATTCTGAAAGATTACAGAAATGTGCATATTTTAGAAAATTTGAGGGGGATATGTTATACATAATGCAAATTTATGCAAATAGCATTAGTACATTATGTTAATCAATGCTGAAATCAAAATAAAATGTCATAGTTAATGTGGCATCCGCAAATTGAATCGTTTATATTAATATCATATTCATATTTCAGGAATAATTGAATTGCACACAGGAATTATTATAATAAATTATTTTTAATCGAAAAATAATAATGGACTAAGTTCCAGTTCAGTGAAAGATTTCATTGAGGTACGACAATGTTTTGTACCAGGTACTAGGTACAACGAAACGGGGTTTTTAAAGAGTATTCACTTCATATTGGAAGTTTTTTTAAATAATGCGTATAAAGACATACTGAGACATACTGATTATGTCGGAAAATTTCGGTAAAATTTCATGTAAATTAGCGCATAGTGATCCGGTATGAAGTTATTAACATAAAACTGTAAAATGAGTGTATAAGGCACAGTTTCGAGAGGTGGACGTGGGGGGGAGGGGCTGCTTTGAGCTTTGTTATGTATCCACTTCTTGAATGAAATAACACTATGGATATCTGTTTCAACAATAAATGGTTATAGTTGGCCCCTTGCCGTGCGAGTTGAAAATATAAACTTTTCACAGATAAGGGAGAGGGAAGTAGGGCATTTCGATCGAATCTCACCCTGAAATATGACCTCCTTCAATTGAGTTCAAAGTGTGATCAATTAGAGTTGGAACTAAATAACCAGACGATTTTTCGTTTAAAGGTTGCTATTTAAAAACAATGGTGGGGCTCCGCTTAAATTTGTCGGTGCAAACGGCCATAAGAAACAGCCAATAGAAACAAAGGTTTATTGTGCGTTGCTAACCAACGAAACCATACCTTTGTTTCTATTGCCTATTTCTTAATGATCTAACGATTAATGATAATGATTGCATAAACCCACCATAAAACGGCGTTCTAGAGGTTTTAATTGTTCGGATTAGTTTTTGAAGTTATGGCAGATGACAACGATGATCCACTTGATATTACATACAAGGATCAAATATCAGGAAATGGCTTTATTGTAAAAATAGTTACGGTCTTTCAAGCGATGTAAGATAATCTATGATTGAACAAAAAATACCCTTAAATGTTTAATTTAAATCCGTACATTATTTTATTCAAGCATATAAATCATTGTAAAGCTTCTGACAATTCTGAATTTAACTTAGACGTCAAAAATAGCAAGCTTGGCTTCTGCCGTCACGGTCGTTTCGATAGAAACAGCATTGTCATATGTTCTGAACCCCATTTGATATCGTGCTCGGCGTCGCATTTGATATAAGAATGACAGATGTCATTAGAATACACAATCTGTTTCACCTTATCTGCCATTGCGGAAGTGTTAACTTTATCTACCCTTACAGTTAAAAAGCGACTTAATCATTCAAATCAATTACAATGTCAACATATGCTATAAAATAAATAATTTTAAATAAATTCTAATCAAGTAATAATAATTGCCTGAATTGGCATTGTCATAAATAGAAGTAGAGATCTGACGAGGCTTCATTTTCCAACATTTAACTTTATTGGTAGTAAAAAGAGGCACTTTTATTGTCTGTTTGACAGAACAGTGATAAAAGTTGATCGTCTCTTACATTAAATTATATGTATAAGTGTATACCTTAAATTAAATACTTGATGGATACACACCTTGGTAGCAGTCTTGTTTCATTCTTATAAATTAAATAAAATAGCGTTGCATAAACCCACCATCTAATGCCAAAGTTGTCCCCATCCCACTCGCTCTCCGTCTTTTTGACTATTCAAAACTTATTCGAAATTTTGAAATGGAATATTGAAAGAATATGAATAATTGAATTCTTGAATAAATATATAAATAAATAAATAAAGCAAACAATCTACGTGTCTTATTGTAATATGTCCACAAAATTTAAATAATAATTTTGAAAATGGGAAAAACCCACAAACAAATATATCATAACCCAAAAAATGTCGCAAGTAAAAAATAAATGAATTCAAAAATATCGAGGGGTGTGGGGCCAACTCAGGTTCAAAATATTATAAGCAAAACTTAAAAAATCTATTGCCAATAACTGATTACTTATTTCTAACCCTTGTTATTTTTTGTTTTTCAGAATCGTCATTTAAACTGGAGTAGCTTCTTGCCCTTGTAGTGCGTATGCCTTCCCACATGAAATGAAAACTACAACCGTGGAAAAATTTTCATCTGTAAGAAAATGGTGGTGATTGTTGAAAAATGAAAGACCGAATGATCCACCATTAAACAGTAACACTATTGGATACAGCCCTCTAAGTCAATGCTTTTCCAAACGGGTTATTGTTGTTGTAAGGAAACCACCCGCACCAAAGGGAGCTGTGACATGTGACAAGGCGATTGGTCCGGCAGCTCCGGGGGAAACCTGGACTAATTTTTAATGGCCAAGAAAATTGTTATCATTTTTTTCATTATATACTTATCTGCTAAGGAAGATCTGCATTTAAAAATTCGTTGACCCTATTTAAAATCTAAAGATATATTTTTTAAACAAATCATTGGCTTGCTTTAAAAAAATTGATAGTCAATCACGTCAAATTTTATTGGAATTTGTAATATACGAGTAGGATATTGCAGAAGAACCCCAATTTGTTGTCTGTATTTAAAAAATTAAAAACGAAATCGATTTCTAACTTTCGACTTTTATTTAAACCCTTCGACATAATACATACTCTGCACAGGTAGTAAGTAAAAAATGGAGAGGACAAAGCAGGGGGACTAAAGCAAACATTTTCTCGGAGGGTAGAAAACACACAAACTTTTTCGCACTTCGAGTCGGACAGAAAACGTGAGTACGGGAATTCCCACGGAGCCCTTCTCTTTTTGGACTCGCTTCAAATAAAATTTTTGGAATAATGGAACAGAGTCAGAAATTAATATCGACAACCGTTAGCGTTGGTCCGAAATAATTAGTCAAAGGGTCCCCAATTTTGAAACCAGGTTTGAAACTGGCCACATTACCTAGGTATTTGGAACGTTTGTCTTTTTTGGAAAAATGTTTATTTTGATTCTTTTTATTGCTATTCTTTTACGTACATACTTATGTGCTCACTGGGTATAATATTGCAGTAAGCCTCATATCGGTCATAGGGAAAATTGCGACCGTTCCTCGTCACAAAACAATAAACAAACACCTGAGACCCCTTCAAATACAAAAAGAGACACTAAATATTATTCCTTGCACTTTGAATAGAAACCGATGAACTTCCTCTACCCAAGCACCCCTTGCATTCGCATACATATTTCAGAAACCTAACGAAGCGAAATTTCTCGAGGTTTGTTTGTGATTTTACTCAAACGCGATAATCTTTGAATCGATATTTTATGTAAGAAATCGAGTGTAGGAATAAATGATAAGGCATAGCTATACCTAAGCTATATATTTTATGGTCCCTAACGTGAATTCGGAAATAAATGGAGTTAGTTAACTTGCCGGTGATGTCATCACTATGGATTTGTAAATCCGAGACCATAATTCTAGAAATGAATCTGAATATTCGCAAAAATTATTCGTTTAATAAATCGCGAGCAGTACAGTATTTAAATGTCCTGCAATACTATTTTCTGGCCCGTTAAACTTCTCCTTTCTAATTTATTGTAATTAGGCAAGATAAGTGAGGAGGGGAAATTCCATAACTTTGTAATTAATAAGGGACTGTTTCGTACTCCCTCGTCTAAAAGCCTATTTACAGACGAATAAGTATCAAAATAAATTAAATTTCAAGTTAGTACAATTTGAAGAGTAAAATAGGGGAAAACATTTAATACATCGTTTTCTGTCAGATTTCATGTTTTCTTGCTAAGAAGGTATTTAAAATATTCCTAAGAGCACCACCCTCCCCTTCCTATCGACGTCGGTTATAATTCCTTATATCTGGAGAACAAGACTGTCAGAGGAGGGTACTCACAAAGAGTCATGTCAAAACTTTAGTAGGAATATCTCGAAAATCGAGTGTCGGAAAAAGGCACTTAAAAAAAATGCCCCTAAAGGCTTGATTTGCCTTGCATTATAATTATTTATCAAGACTTTTGCAGGCTACAACCAATTTGTGTCAAAAGTTTGCCTGTATATGTTTGAGGATGTTACCAACAGAGTAGGTACCTCACAGACTCACCATTAAATGCATCTGACATTTAATTTCCAAGTAAACAAATGCATTCATATAGTAACTGCAACATGAACGAAAGACCCTGAAAATTCTAGACGGTTTAGAAGCGAGTTTTTAAGATTTCTAAAAAAATTTTGAAAGATTTCCAGGAAAAAAATTTCCAAGATTCTTAACCACCGGACAGATACTGCCTTCAGGCAAACATTGAATAGGTACGTTTCCCAGCACTGGAATGATGTCTTTATTTAACGATGAGATAGCAACCTGACATCCGACATTTTATACAAAACTGTTAAATTCTACCAAAATGACAAATACATCCTTAACGACAAAGGTTAAACGAAAGCCTTTATAGGTAAATTGTACTTTTCTAACCTGATACACTACTAAAGAAACTTTTAGAACCCTTAAGACCAGAAATTTAGGCGCTATAGGAAACTCTAATCAAAACTCTAAATGTTGAATTTTTTCTTGGCATTTGAAATATTAAAATTCTTGTAATGGTATTTTTTTTTAATTTCGCCTGAGTAATAGTTTGTTCTTACTGCACTTTTTTGTGCAAGTAGTATACAAAAATGCCTTAAAGTAAAAATCTGATTCTGATCTTGTCTGCCAGATAGACAGACAAACAAAGCGCCCACAATAGTACCCTAAAAGGACCTTTTGAAATGCCAAGTGTCAATTCGAGAACCATGAATAAATTGTCTAAAATTTTGCGTAATGAAGTTAAGTTAATGATAATAATAACAATAAGAAAATATTGACACTTTTGTATTAAAGTGCCAAAGGAGTGCATTTTTTTGATAACAATTTTCAGTTCTCATTCTCAGTTCCAGATAGCCCCTCAAGAGTTCTGGTAGTCTCTCTACGAAGATTTTGCTGGTGACTTATAATAAGAAAATGACGTTTTTTGCTTGTGACACTAAGCAATACAGCAAAAAAGTAATATACTGACTCAGGTAAAACAGTTATCGGACCTAACTTCATTGTTTTTAAACATCATTTTATTCTTAAATGATAGCATATTCTCTTTCCAAAAATATAAATAATATAACATTAAAATACAAAAAAGATTTTATAAAGAAATTAAAAAAAACTTTCTTTTACTTTTTTTGTATTTTTTAAATGATTTGAACCTTTTTTTAATTGTTGCAATTCATTTTTATTGAATCACTTGCATTTTTTAAATATCGCTAGTGTGTTATGTTTTGAAAGCAGAATTTAACATGCAATTGTTTAGATTAAAATATACAGGGTGTTCTATTTCAAAAATGAGGTTAGGTCAGGTAACTTTCTCTGTATCTCTCTCCCTCTACCCCCCCCCCCTCTCCCTCAAGCTTTAACCATAGGCGCTTCTAATAAAAATAACATCATAAATTAAATATTTGTGGAGATATTTCTTTGAAATTTTAACCATATATATATGGCTCCTGTAAAGAAAAACATAACGCACATAGCTATGGCCTTTTGGGAAGTTATCAGTTCATGGCATATACGCTGAAGTTACTCTCCTTAGGGCGAAATCCTTTTTACTTGTTTTTTTAAATAGAACGTTAGATGATACACTTGTTAGTGGTTTTAAAAATTTCTTTAATGATGTGTTGAAAAAATACAATTTACATCTAAAGGTTTATTTGGTATTTTTTGTAGAATTTTTAAGTTCTGTGGAAAGTGTCGGATGGCCCTTCAAAAGGCACCGAAACTTTGTATAATGAAGTGTTGGCATTTAACCCAAAAATTAAAAAAAAATGTTTATGATATTTAATCATTTCCATAAGTAATAGTTGAGAACATTTTTGGAGGAATTTTCCCCACAGTTCCCCACCACCGTACAGACGTTATGCTGTAAAATGTATACGTATCAACGTATGTATTCAGTAAACTACCGATATTGGAGGTCTTTACATTGTTTTTTCGCGGAAATATTTTAAAGAATTATCAGGAAATTTAGAACTATTGATGATCTTTTCAGAACTTTAAAAAAGTTCACCTTTGAGGCAAATGGGGGGGGGTGTAGACTGGGCCCCTCTTATTTTCAAAATTGGTCTTTTCTGACTTAATCGTCATAACTCGGTGATATATCAAAAACTCTGGAACGTCATGACAGGCTTCCAAAACTCTAATTAAAATTGCAAAATTATATAATTGAGCAATATACGAACTACATTAGCATTTCATTTACAGTATTGAATAAAAACACTATTCAATGATTACAGGTATAATCGAATAATTATTGTGCAGCACAATTGAACTCTGCTGCAATTTTAAAAATGCGCTAGTTTGCATTTAGAATAGTCATTTCCGCGTCGCAGCCATTTTGCTACGTGGCGATTTCAGTTCCCAGGGAATCATCTACCACCAAAAGAAAAAGATGCGGTTTATTATCTAGAAACGTGTCGTGTATCACAAGTTAAGTATCTGAACTTGCCATAAACTTTGTAATCAACTTATACTGCAAGGTCACGATAAAATTTCTTAATATAGACAGAAAGACCGTTCGTTGTTCTTGTTGGCTTTATGTAAGTAAGGCTAATGCACTTCCATATCGGTTAACCGTAGAAAGTTTTGGGGGAATCGGGCGGATTTCATTATTCATTCGAGCAGTATTTCAGATCATTCTACAACCCACCTTATCAGTGGCGCAGCTGACGCAATTCCTCCCTTTCGCTTCCACCACACACACCATTATCAAAATGAACTCAGTTGGGAACGTCGAGCTTATACATCTACCCTAGATTTTCGAGCAATCTACTTCCGGATGCTTTACGAAGTGGATTTAAATGCAATTGTAGATAGTTAAATAGCTCGGTATTTAAAAATGAACATTATGATTTATGAGCAATGATGATATACGTCTCGATTTTGGCACAAAGCCTTGGATGTATTCCTAATTTATGCAAAATGTTATGTTACAGTTACCTAGACGTGAGGGGCATCTTTACAGTGTCGTTCCCGGTAGCTAATTGTGATTTGAGCGATAAAAAACGTTATGCCAGCAGCTAACTTAAACAGTCTCAGTATTGATTTTTCAAATTTATATCATTGCGTTTTGTGATGAGGACTGCAACGCGAAACGATGCTTAAATCA